TTGTAGAATAATAGTGAAGACATCAAAACTATGAAATAACACATATGGAATCATGTAGGAACCATTTTTTTTTTAAACAAATCAAAATATGTTATATTTGAGATTCTTCAAAGTAGCCACCCTTTGCCTTGATGACAGCTTTGCACACTCTTGGCATTCTCTCAACCAGCTTCATGAGGTAGTCACCTGGAATGCATTTCAATTAACAGGTGTGCCTTGTTAAAAGTTAATTTGTGGAATGTATTTCCTTCTTAATGCGTTTGAGCCAATCAGTTGTGTTGTGCCAAGGTAGGGGTGGTATACAGAAGATAGTCCATATTATGGCAAGAACAGCTCAAATAAGCAAAGAGAAACGACAGTCCATCAATACTTTAAGACATGAAGGTCAGTCAATACGGAAAATGACAAGAACTTTAAACGTTTCTTCAAGTGTAGTTGCAAAAACCATTGAGCGCTATGATGAAACTGGCTCTCATGATGACAACCGCCACAGGAAAGGAAGACCCAGAGTTACCTCTGCTGCAGAGGATAAGTTCATTAGAGTTAACTGCACCTCAGATTGCAGCCCAAAGAAATGCTTCACAGAGTTCAAATAACAGACACATCTCAACATCAACTGTTCACAGGAGACTTTGTGAATCAGGCCTTCATGGTCGAATTGCTGCAAATAAACCACAATTAAAGGACACCAATAATAAGAAGAGACTTGCTTGTGCCAAGAAACACGAGCAATGGACATTAGACCACTGGAAATCTGTCCTTTGGTCTGATGAGTCCACATTTTTGGTTCCAACCGCTGTGTCTTTGTGAGACACAGAGTAGGTGAACGGATGATCTCCGCATGTGTGGTTCCCACAGTGAAGCATGGAGGAGGAGGTGTGATGGTGTGGTGGTGCTTTGCTGGTGACACTGTCTGTGATTTATTTAGAATTCAAGGTACACTTAACCAGCATGGCTACCACAGCATTCTGCAGCGATACGCCATCCCATCTGGTTTGCGCTTAGTGGGACTATCATTTGTTTTTCAACAGGACAATGACCCAAAACACACCTCCAGGCTGTGTAAGGGCTATTTGACGAAGAAGGAGAGTGATGGAGTGCTGCATCAGATGACCTGGCCTCCACAATCACCTGACCTCAACCCAATTGAGATGGTTTGGGATGAGTTGGACTGCAGAGTGAAGGAAAATCAGCCAACAAGAGCTCAGCATATGTGGGAACTCCTTCAAGACTGTTGGAAAAGCATTCCTCATGAAGCTGGTTGAGAGAATGCCAAGAGTGTGCAAAGCTGTCATCACGGCAAAGGGTGGCTACTTTGAAGAATCTAAAATCTAAAATATATTGATTCTATATGTGTTATTTCATAGATTTGATGTCTTCACTATTATTCTACAATGTAGAAAATAGTAAAAATAAAGAAAAACCCCTCGGCCCTGGCTGTCAAATCCACACACAGCCACATGTATCATTTCAGTAGATAGTTTCCAAGCAAGCCACGGGGCCTGTAACAGTCTAGCCAATATTGGTGCTGGCTTTGTCTGTTTTTATTGTCTGTAGCCCATGCAGCACAGCCTCTGACTGTCTAACACCATAACCTTGTTTTAATGGCATGATGAACACTCACACCATGTAATCATTGCCACAGGGCATTACGGAAGGCCCCAAAAAGGGTGAGAAAATGTAATCATGTAAAGATAAAATATATAGAAGCGGTGAGAGAGGAGACTCACAGGGGATCTGGACTGCCCATCGGCAGCACTGTCAGCACATAGCAACAATCAGCATTAATAGTCCTGTGTTTGCGTCCTAAATAGCACCCTATTCACTATGTAGGGTAGGGCTTTGGTCAAAATTAGTGCACTGTATAGGGATTAGGGTGTTATTTGGGACGCTTGCATGTCCAGTGATGCAGAAACATTATCACTGCTGATATTGACTGAGAGGATGAGGGCAGATTGAGGAACAGACTAACTGTAACCAAGGAGGCTAAGGAGATCCAGGGAAGTGCTTTTTCTCAGGGATGTTTTAAAAAAAATAGGTTTGCATGTGTGATGGTCTGCATCTGCAGTGATGAATGCTTGATTGAGCTGCAGGAGAGTGAGAGGGTGTGGGCTTTGGGATGAGCACGTCCAGACTGTTTTAAAGTCATTGTTGACTTTCTTATTATGTGATGAACATACTGTATCTGCGTGGTAAGTCAACTTACATAACACTGCCTGACAAATCATCTTCCAAAATAGTCTTCCAGGAAAATCACAGTTTCTGTGACTTTTTATTTTTTAGATGGGACAAAATTATGTCTAGAATGTTATTGTTGTTTGTTCAAAGTAGTAAACAATGTGTCTAGAGCATAAGAACAGTCATTGTGTTGCTCCTTTGCTGTAGATTAAAGTGGGCAGCATACTTTAGCTGGTCTGACCCAACATTGGTGGCAGCCTACACAACAGACACTGCTTAGGAATGTGTGGCATTGTCATCTGAGCAACACCAAGGCTGTTTCTGAATCAGTCCAAAGATGACTAACGACTCACTGGGGTCCTTATTTACCTCCCAAATGGCACCCTATTCTCTTTATAGTGCACTACTTTTGATGAAAGCTCTACTCTAGTAGTGCACTATAAAGGGAATAGGTTGCAATTTGGGATGCAGCCTCTATTACATGAGCTCAAGTTCACATGGATGGGATTGAGGACACATAGATCAAATCAGTTTGTTAAATATGCACATGAACATAACCTACCGAGAAATAGCCCTTCTTGAACCAACTTCATGTTGGCCTATGACATTCTTAGGGATGGACATACAGTATATGCCAATAGAAATAGCTGATGTTTCCCTCACATTATCATGTCTTTGCAGATTACTCAAGACCACATCTCTCTCACTCAGTGTACAATTTCATTTTCATAACATTTATTGTTCAAGGCGGTTTTCATACTCTTTCGAAAGAGGAAAATAGTATTGACATGAGAACTCTAGGAAAGGCAATATTACCCCCCTCGATTTAGTCAGCCATGATATAAAATCATTTCTGTGTGGATTGTTAAACCACCCGTCGTTAATCCATAATATACTAATGAGTCAGTGTATGATGTATACCCAATCACCTGTGTGTGTGTGTGTGTGTGTGTGTGTGTGTGTGTGTGTGTGTGTGAGCAGTTCAGATCAGTTCATGAATGGGATAACATTAAAGTTGCTGTTGACATTGCTCTCGGTACACTTGAGTGGAGAACGTCAGAGACTAATAGATATGCATATAACCCAGGGATCTCCTGTTAATTGCAAAATATGTTCATGCTGATTTTTTGGGGGGGGAAACAGGCAGCCATGCAGCCAAACCCTCTCATGATTAAATCATCTTTAGACAATTTTACTGTTTGTAAGCAGCCGAGCCATAGTTGCATATGAGTAGGCCTAGATAAGCCTTAATTCCACACTTCTGGCCCCAACAATAGCTTGCTTTGTGTCTACACACAGAGAGTCTGTTATTTTCTGACCCGTTTGTTGTAAAACACCTGCACTCTGAAATTCAATCTAATCATTTGACATTTTGCCTCGACGTCTCATACTCCTCCGTCTTCTACATTTAGATAACTTGTGTGTTCAGAATGACTGCTTAGTTAACAGCTCTAGCTCATACACACTGACATTACCAAGACCACACACATGTAACCACTCCAATTTACAGTACATAGTCAGTTTGAAAAGAGCCTTTTAATCAAACATCCTAACACCACAGTGCAGTGTATACCAGGTAGTCCTCCAATACCCTATACTGCAGTCTTCTCTATCCCCTCAGGGGCCTCATATAGGATAGCATCCATGGAGAACATAGGTGTTTTCCTGGTAAACACATTTAAGTTCTGTTTACCTTAGTTACGTTGCAAGGCGAGTTCCCCCTACCTACCCGGAGGCATACAGCAATCAAAGGCTGTCTGTAATGGTACCCTATTCCCTATATAGGTCTGGGCAAAAGTAGTGCACTTTGTTGGGAAAAGTGTACCATTTGGGACAGAAACAGTCAATGACAGGCCCTCCATCCATCAGGCACAACAGTGACCTCTAGTGGCGAGATAACACAAAAAGGTCCAGCAACAGATGGCCAAGATATCATCTGCATCTTCCGGGCTACTTTCTGTAAACTTCATCCACATAACTTTTTGACGAGTTTTTCTGCATTCATATGCAGTTTCTTTACAATACTGAGACCATTTCATGGTCACTGCAGATGGCATGTTTTAATACTCATTTCAGTGTGTGAATGCTGCTGGACAGACATACCAGCAGGGCCAATGGGTACCATCAGTAGCCTATTTGGAAACATGTGGCCTACCGATAATAAGTCAATACAACATTACAAAGGTTTTGACTTAGTTAAAAGCTCTGAGTTTATTTGTTTAGCATTTTCTTGTTAAATTGATACAACATGTAAAAAACAGTACAAGTTAGTTCCACAAAACCATACAATGTACAAAATATTTACAATGTTTAAATGATCAAATGTATTCATATTAAAAACAAATTAAAATATAATTCAGTCAACACTGATTTACTTATGATAGGAAAAGTGATTTAGATAAACTGTACTTAGGCCAGACTCAGTGATGTTATACTAATTGAACTAGGTGTGTACCTAGAACAACCTTCCCTAATTTCAGTGTTACAAACAGTGGTGACTAGAAAAATTGTATAACCCCCAACCCTTACCCAGTGATAGGATACATTACCCTGTGATTTAGCAAACACATTTGTAAAGGAATATCAGAAATGCAAAATGTCCCATTTTAATCACGTTTCCCCTTAAAAGAGGGAGCATCTTATTCCCAAAATCCCTAAGTGGCACTATACTGCACAGGTCATAAAATAAAATGTGTTCAAAATATTTTAAGAAACATGGATAACCATTCCTACAAGAAAGCATAGGAATATCCACGGCACATTTTCAGGAATATCCTCGATAAAATAAGGAATAGAATGTTGTTGTTTTTATACGGACATGCCTGATCCTAGATCAGCACTCCTAAACTGAGCCGCTTTATAAATACGGGCCGTGAAGAATAGTATCCGATGCCTCTATGCATACCATTGTTGTGTGTCGGTCACGCACTGGTGTCAGCGATGCAGTGGGTCCGTGGAGCTCCGAGGGGGAAAGACTGCTCTCTGCTGCCACCAGGTGGGTCCTTTTTGCGATTAGTGATCTCCTGCAGTAGCGCCACGTTACCAACCCTCCACTGACGATACCTCTGTGCAGTAAGAATGGGATCTGCCAGCACGTGTTCTATAGCCAACAGGTCGGCTTCTTTTGCCTATTAAATATATAAATCAGACAACGGTGTTGATGTACAGCTGTTCACCTTTCAACAGGAATTAATGTAGGCACATCTAAGGGTATTGTAGCCAAGGAATATTAACAGACTAAGCCTTCCATGTTCATGGGTTTGATTGACAAACAGATCAGGGTTGTGTTCAGTAGGGCGAAAACGGTTTGAAAGGGGGAGCTAGATTTTTTTTCTTCTTCATGGTGTGCCCTACTGAACATGACCCTGTTCTAATGAGCAGAGAGCTCTTTGACCTAGAATGAAGTGACTCACCTTCAAAGTGCTGTTGAGGGTCCTAACCTGATGCAGCTTGTTATTGACTTGGTCATTTTTGCAGCGTTGAATGAATGACGCTCTGAAGTCCCTCTTCAGTTCTCCAGTTGGAGATAGTCTGGCATGCTTTAGATGGATGTACAGTGCCTCCATTTCATCAGATGTGCCCTCTAAAAATCATCATAATAAATCAAGATTATGGCATACAAATATGCCATCATTCACATGTTATCATTCAAAATAAGTTCATAAGAACAAACAGGCAGTATAGAGGTGTGGGTGTTAACTAGGCTACTCCGCCATCTTTTGTGTCAATCCAGGATAATGAGATGTGGTGTCAATCCAGGATAATGTGGTGTCGATACAGAGAAGCTAAAAGTTTACCCTCCTTTCCTCCCTGGGCCTCAGCCCCCGGTCCATCCTCCTCATCCAGTCTGAGGGGGTGGAGGGGAGCACCCTGTCCCACTGCCCTCTCTGCAGAAGGGACATCCAGCCAGGACTGCATGCTCTCTGAAGTCACAATGCTGTCAGGGGCAGACAATGGGCCAGTGGAGTGACAGGGGGACGAGGTGGAGCAAGATGGGGGGACATCTCCCTGGGCAGAGAGAGAACAGAGTCAAATCACAACATTCACAGTGGGTTAACATGAGGCTCTGAGTGGCGCAGTGGTCTAAAGCTCTGCATCGCAGTGCTAGCTGTGCCACTAGAGATCCTGGTTCGAATCCAGGCTCTGTCGTAGCCGGCCGCGACCGGGAGACCCATGGGGTGGTGCACAATTGGCCCAGGGTAGGGGAGGGAATGGCCGGCAGGGATGTAGCTCAGTTGGTAGAGCATGGCGTTTGCAACGCCAGGGTTGTGGGTTCGATTCCCACGGGGGGCCAGTATGAAACATTTAAAATAATAATGATGTATGCACTCACTAACTGTAAGTCGCTCTGGATAAGAGTGTCTGCTAAATGACTAAAATGTAATCTACAGCAACAGACTGAGTCCGAGTCTAAACACTAGCACAAAGTAGCATCAATGCTGAACAATCTTCGTACATACAAAGCAGTTGAATGGGGAAGTGCACTCACACTCACAGAGTCTATGGTCAGCTGCTCAGGGTCAGATGTCTCCAGAGACTCAACCTCTTGGTCACTCTCCTCACTGTAGCACTCTAGACACACAGTGAACCACAGGAATTATGAGGAGTAATTGGTTACAAAAGTCCATGTAATGCCTGAGGTTGGTCGAGTGGTTAAGGCCGTTGCCCTCAACACATATGCGATCCCAGGCCTTCAGACTTAGTCCCCCACTGATTTGATTTTGAGTTGCCCTTTAATTCAAGTGTGCAGGCACCTAGCACTGTTGTTTGGTTAGCAGTGTTTCTGTTGTACATGAGATGGAGTTTGCAAAAGAAATGACCACTGGATTGATGCAAATAATCATGATATTCTGACAGGTATGCATAGCCTACTTTGTAGCTAGTTAACATACCAGAATATAGTTAGGCCTATCATTAGCGTCGCTATATTTCCCCTGTTCCTTAATTGTTTGACACCTGGACGTTTTACTTCATATTATGTCGTCTTCCCTTGCTTCAAAGTAGCCTATAGCCAACATCCAATCATAGAAACGTGGAGGCATTCATTTTTTATAAAGACTTACCCATATGCATTCTACTGTTCTTTTGGTTTTCTTTAAACTTTCTTTCATTGTCTATCAGCCAAAGGCATTATCCTAGTCACAGTAGAAACCCATGATAGTTGTTGCATCTTTAAATCATCCTCCCCTTTCCTAAATTTCTAACGAATATTTCAATCTCTGTCCATGAAACCGCTCGCATGTGCATTTTAGAAGGGCGTTTTTTCCGCAATTGTATTTCGGAACGTTCACGCGTAGGCCTACCGCCGTGTGTACGTTGCTGCGCCTAAAATGTGAAGAAATAGTTTATCAACGTTTTAAGCTAAACATTCCGATCTGTTCTATCAGCTCTATTAATTGATATGGTTTATACTTCCACTCCACTACTTTGATACGCCTCAGTGGGGATTAAGTGAGTATATGCAATGCCCACTGAAAAATAAGTGGCTATATGGCGTATACCCTCCACTACACCAATGTCCCCTAGCTTATTTCTGTCTCTCTCCATCAAGAAAACAAACAACAAATAGAATTTTAAAAAAAGATCCATGTAATGTCTTGAGAGTCCATTACCTCCAGTGTTCCTCTCTGACGACTCCTTCAGTGCAGCAGCCACTGCTGCTGACAGTTTAGACAGCCACCTGTAACATGGAGAAGCCATGCCTTAAAAACAATAATCCCTGACCGAGATGGCCAATGTTTTATGCACTTATGAGGCAAATGGCCTCTTTGCACATGCTTCCTCAAATAGCTTCTAGCTTCCTCAAATAGCTTAATGATAGGTAACTGTAATGGCATTTAAATATGGCCCCATGAGTGTAGCGGATATAATATAAAATAACATTCAACTTTCCCACCATGTAAACAGTAAAAAAAAAAGTTGTGTTCACATTAATAAGCTATATTTTCATAGTGTCAGCCCACATCCTCTACTAGTAAGTGTGCCTTAGACCTCAGCATAGCACAAATAGGCTACAACCTCCAGGCCGGCCTCCATTACCCTCTTTTACACACTCACTTGTTCATCTCACTCAGACGCTCAGCAGCGAAGTAGAGTGTCACAACCTGTGGATGGCTGGCCTTTATAGCACTGAAATGAGATCAGGCAAAACAAAATAGCCGTCAGATCAACAAATACTACATTGAGTGTTTTGAGCGTGTATGAAAAGTGCTCTACAAATACAATTATTATCATTCCTATGACAGGATAGGACACTAAATGAGAGAGCTGAACACTGCTCTGTGTGTTTCTATGAGGGAGAGAGATTTTAGGAAGGAATCAAAAGTGAAATCACTAAATTTGGTCAACAGCAGACCAGCAGTTATCTAACGCCTGCATTCATACCGTAAAGATGAAGAGAAACATGGTTTAGGATTGATGACTTACACAGAGGAAACAAGGCTACATGTGATCATACAGACAGCACAAAATATTACATTTGAGCTAGACGTGCAAAAGCTCTGCAATTTCCTGTGACTGGGTGAAGTGGTAATGAAACGCTAAAGAAGACTACTATACATGGGGAAGTAATGTAAACTAAAACTAGACCAAAAGGTTTGTGGTTAGCCCACACTACTCTGGTTTCCAACAGGCCAAATGGAAACTTTAAATTAGAAAAACCTAACTGCTTCTTCTTGCACTCTGTTGCTTGGTCAACAGTGAAGTCTGATAGGTGGATGTATCCTTCTGCTTTCTCAGCCTACAGACCAAGAGGTGACAGAGAGAGAAACAAAAATAACATGCATAATTGATTACGCTCATGTGACAAGACAATAATTAATAAATATGGTTGGTTAGAGGATCATTGTCCGGGAGAGTAGTACACATTACTGTTTTAAGTATTGATACTACTACACCAGCCATTCTTATCACATGTTGCTGGTGTCTGCCATGACTGTCTCTATACGAACGTATCTTGTTGTATACCCTAAACCAGGGATGGGCAACTTTGATGGGGCTGGGAGCCCCCCAAAAAATGGAACTCATCATGAGGGGCCTCCCTACCTTGCGAGCAAAGCAGCACCCCTCGTGACAGTGAAGTTAAGAGTTAATTTCCTGCAATTCTTCACATTTTGCCATGGGGCATAGAGAACATGTTGCTGTCTTAAAGCAAGTTTGCTGCAATTCTACACATTTTGCCATATGGTGGAGGCAAATGTTTGCAGTTTTTAATATGATAACTGATGACCAATGGGCCCCACCCCGTTCGGTTATTCAACCATGCTTACTACAAAAGGGGGGACGCCGCCAGCTGCCCATCCCTGCCCTAAACTAAAGCATTTTGAGATTTAGCAAATAAAATGTTTACCAACTCAGCCCCAACACTCAACACAACAATAACATAGATTAGAACAACACAACGACCCAACAACAACAGATTAGCACAACTCAACAACACAGATTAGATTAGCACAACTCAATGACCTAACACAACAACACAACGACATAAATTAGCACAACACAACAGTAGAACGCACCGTCTGACCAGTGTACCAGTACAGGGCGGTCTTCTTCAGAACAAACCAGTACTTCTTCCATTTGGTTCCCAGGAAGCCCTTGCCCTCCTTCTTCTTGTAGAGCCAGCCCTGGCAGTCCACTTGACCCAGCTCCTTCAAAGACACCCTGCGATGGCTCATCACTGAATTGCCTACGGAAGGCCTACCTATGGGACCTACAGACAGACACTGCAACATTAGCTACAGTACAGGCAGACAGACAGACAGATACAGAAGACTACGTCCTTTGAGTATATTAATTTTTGTTATTTGTAACCTTGTGAGCAGGTCTTTTTAGACCTTTGGTTGAGACAGTGAGGCAGGCAAGTATTGTTTTCTTCAACACTTTACCATAAAATAGCCCTTTTTATTACAAATTTGGCTAACTAGGAAAAGCCCATGTTAAATAATGGAATCTGTACATGTAATCTAATAGGCTGAGAGGTGTTGATCCTACCCTTTCTAGAACATCTAGTTATCTTACCTCCAACCCCTGTCCTGAAGGTAGGGCACCAGGAGAGTTTGATCCAGAGAGAAGAGACGAGTTCTCCTATTACAGCAGCTTCTCACCAGCATGCTGGAGCCATCAGTCACAACAGCTCATACGGACTCTCAGAATGACAAGACGATGCACATGAAGAGTATAGCCCTAACGTACCCTAACCGAACAGCCTACAAGTAGGGCTTTGTACAGTCCAACATTTACATACACCCCTCCTGCTGCTGTCACCCCCAACCACTAAACTCACAGATAGAAAACAGCATCCTGTTTCACAAGGCAACAGCATGTCTCGGTCTCGCTGTCCAAAATGTAGTGACATGGGTTTACAAAATGATATACATGTTAAGCATTTATCAACCCAAATATTTTTGGGAGTTTAATCAAACTACATGCAAGAGATCAAAGTGAGAGGAGCAGATTGAAAATCCCTTTACTCATAAGAAAATCACAATCATTAACCTTCCTTTTGCAGTCTAGATTTCCCATATGTAACTCTGTTGTTGTTTTTATCGCACTGCTTTGCTTTATCTTGGCCAGGTCCCAGTTGTAAATGAGAACTTGTTCTCAACTGGCTTACCTGGTTAAATAAAGGTGACAGGAGGTCATTTAATATGAAGGCAGTGTGTTATATATATCATTTAGAAAGTGTCTGAGGATGATAATAATGTAATGCATAAAACGGTTCAATTAAAACACGGATACTTTGTAATTAAAACACGGATACTTTGTAACATCGGTACTTCTGAGTAATGATTGGCTGAATTAATTAGGTCAGACGAGAAATGACCTCTACACAACGCCTCTTCTTCTACCTGTAACAAACTTTCAAACTTTTGAGTGCATTATCCAACCCATCAGACGCAGAAGGCTACTCTCCAGATCCTTTGAAAGCATTGTGTTCTTCGTGAAGGGACAGCAAATGCATGAAAATACATAATTTTGGCGTCGAGAAGCGTTCTCTGCTGCTGATGATGATGCTGCTGCTGCTGATGCTGATGATGATGATGAACGATTTCCGGTCACGTTAGTCCTATCGCTACACCTAGGCCAGAGTAGGTAGCCTAATTATAGGCCTACTAATCTACTATTTCTGCCTAGGCTACTTTTTTGCTTATGGAGTTGATCAGTCATTTTATTTGACTTATGTATAAAATGCAATTCTATTAATTCAATCACATATTATTCTTAATCTTCTATTTGGTTCAAAATTTATCAGTTTCCACCGGTTTCCACTAGTTACCACAGCCACAAAGTCTAAATTGGCTTTATAAAAAGAAAATATGAAAACAAAAATGTGCTTTTTTTGTCTTCATTTAAGGTTACGGTTAGGCATAAGGTTAGCAGTGTGGTTGGTTTAAGGTTAGGGTTAAGGTTAGGTTTAAAATACATTTTTAAGACGATAAATTGTAGAAATGGGCGGGGTTTATGACTTTGTGTCTGTGGTAACTAGTCACGACCGTTTCCTCCGTGATATGTTGATGTATGGTGTTCTGTCATCGGCCACTGGATGTCGCTGTAGTTCTTAAAGTCTGCATACTGTAGGCTACTAGGGCATGATAATCAAATTCATGCAGGCTGAAAACAACTTCATAGTTCCTTCAGAACACCTAGGCCAGGGGTACTCAAGTACTATTTGAGAAGGTACGGTCACACAAATTTCCTAGGTGGCAAAGGTCCGGATGGATAATGTAATTTTTCGGGTTAGTAACAAACCCCCACCTCGCAACCCATGCGACCCCAAACTGTTCACACCCCTTGTTGGCGGAGAGAAAATTTTGCAGTTTTAAAGCTAATTTCCCACAATTCTACACATTTTGCATGGGGCAGAGATATATTCTTTGCTGTTTTGAAGCTAATTTCCTACAATTCTATGCATTCTTCCATGTCTTATGTGTGTTTATATGATACCAGGGGTCAAAGCCCGACCGAGTAAAAAAAAAAATATATAAAAAAACAAAGAAATAATCATTTAAAAAAAGTTGTTTTATTATTTTTGATTTTTTTTTAGCTGCGGTCCGTATTGACCCCGTTCTGGGTCCGGATCCGGTCCGCGGTCCGCCAGTTGAGTATGGAGGACCTAGGCTTTACTCTTCAGGCATACGATCACATTACATCACATGCATTCCTCTCATAAGATATTTTATCTGGGATTTGTGCTTTAATTCACAACTTAATCTCTTTCCAGACATGGGCTGACCTGCGTAGTGTGTACCAGTGAGTTAGTACGCCTAAATCCTTGATTCCAATCCGATTGTGAAATATCATGGAGGCTATCGTCCTTTCTGTGATCAAACAGTGCCAGAGCTTTAACTCACTGGGCACACACTGGTTGAATCAACATTGTTTCCATGTCATTTCAATGAAATTACGTTGAACCAACATGGAATAGACGTTGAATTGACGTCTGTGCCCAATGGGTATCTATGTCAAATTTTGCCTCATGATCTGTCATATTGCAAAGCACTTGAAAAGTATTGTGAGCTGCTAGACATTTCTGCATAAAGATTTTCTTCTATTCTATTATTGGAATGAACACACTGATTTTCTCCTTTAAGACAAGCTTTACAGCTCTTGCATATGTTTAGTATATATGGCTACTGTTGCTAAGGCACTATCTGTGTCTCAGTGTCTTCCTGGTCATGACATCATGTTATAGTTTCAAATTGAGTCATACCTGTTTTATTGAAGACCAGTTAGTGAGATAAAGTAGATACACGTTTTTGAAATCTTACCTGAACTTCACAAAAATATGCACACACACACACACACACACACACACACACACACACACACACACACACACACACACACACACACACACACACACACACACACACACACATCAAGGGTTTTCATTCAGTAGCTTTAAGAAAGGCCAACTCTGGCAGTTACAGTTGAAGTCAGAAGTTTACATACACTTAGGTTGGAGTCATTAAAACTTGTTTTTCAACCACTCCACACATTTCTTGTTAACAAACTATCGTTTTGGCAAGTCGGTTAGGACATCTACTTTGTGCATGACACAAGTAATTTTTCCAACAATTGTTTACAGACAGATTATTTCACTTCTAATTCACTGTATCACAATTCCAGTAGGTCAGAAGTTTACATACACTAAGTTGACTGTTCCTTTAAACAGTTTGGAAAATTCCAGAAAATGATGTCATGGCTTTAGAAGCTTCTGATAGGCTAATTGACATCATTTGAGTCAATTGGAGGTGTACCTGTGGATGTATTTTAATAATAATATGCCATTTAGCAGATGCTTTTTATCCAAAGCGACTTACAGTCATGCGTGGATAATTTTTTTGTTTGTTTATGGGTGGTCCCGGGGATCGAACCCACTACCTTGGCGTTACAAGCGCCGTGCTCTACCAGCTGAGCTACAGAGGACCACCTTTGAAGGCATACACCTTCAAACTCAGTGCCTCTTTGCTTGACATCATGGGAAAATCAAAAGAAATCAGCCAAGACCTCAGAAAAAGAAATTGTAGACCTCCACAAGTCTGGTTCATCCTTGGGAACAATTTCCAAACGCCTGAAGGTACCACGTTCATCTGTACAAACAATAGTACGCAAGTATAAACACCATGGGACCACGCAGCCGTCATACCGCTCAGGAAGGAGACGCGTTCTGTCTCCTAGAGATGAACGTACTTTGGTGCAAAAAGTGCAAATCAATCCCAGAACAACAGCAAAAGACCTTGTGAAGATGCTGGAGGAAACAGTTATCTATATCCACAGTAAAACGAGTCCTATATCGACATAACCTGAAAGGCCGCTCAGCAAGGAAGAAGCCACCTGCTCCAAAACCGCCATAAACAAGACAGACTACGGTTTGCAACTGCACATGGGGACAAAGATCGTACTTTTTGGAGAAATGTCCTCTGGTCTGATGAAACAAAAATAGAACTGTTTGGCCCCCGGAGGAAAAAGGGGGCCGCTTGCAAGCCGAAGAACACCATCCCAACCGTGAAGCACGGGGGTGGCAGCATCATATAATAATATAATATGCCATTTAGCAGACGCTTTTATCCAAAGCAACTTACAGTCATGTGTGCATACATCTTTACGTATGGGTGGTCCCGGGGATCGAACCCACTACCCTGGCGTTACAAGCGCCATGCTCTACCAATTGAGCTACAGAGGACCATGCTGTGGGGGTGCTTTGCTGCAGGAGGGACTGGTGCACTTCACAAAATAGATGGCATCATGAGGAAGGAAAATTATGTGGATATATTAAGCAACATCTCAAGACAAGTTAAAGCTTGGTCGCAAATGGGTCTTCCAAATGGACAATGACCCCAAGCATACTTCCAAAGTTGTGGCAAAATGGCTTAAGGACAACAAAGTCAAGGTATTGGAGTGGCCATCACAAAGCCCTGACCTCAATCCTATAGAAAATGTGTGGGCAGAACTGAAAAAGCATGTGCGAGCAAGAAGGCCTACAAACCTGACTCAGTTACACCAGCTCTGTCAGGAGGAATGGGCCAAAATTCGCCCAACTTATTGTGGGAAGCTTGTGGAAGGCTACCCAAAATGTTTGACCCAAGTTAAACAATTTAAAAACAATTCTACCAAATACTAATTGAGTGTATGTAAACTTCTGACCCACTGGGAATGTGATGAAAGAAATAAAAGCTGAAATAAATCATTCTCTCTACTATTATTCTGACATTTCACATTCTTAAAATAAAGTGGTGATCCTAACTGACCTAAAACAGGGAATTTTTACTAGGATTAAATTTCAGGAATTGTGAAAAACTGAGTTTAAATGTATTTGGCTAAGGTGTATGTAAACTTCCGACTTCAACTGTATGTCCACTGCATAGTAACATGAAACACTATGAAGAGAAGCACATTATCTCAAATAAAAATTATAGGCATTAATTATATCTATATCAACTCACGAAATGAAATACAAAATATACCGGTCCAAAAATCAAATCAACTTCTTAAAAAAATTATTTTAAACATATTTACAATAAATCTGTAGACCGACACAAACTAAATAACTTAACAATTTAAACATAGGACAGTTTACCTACTGAAGCAAGGCTAATGTTTCCTAAACCTGAATTATAGTCCTTCTCTTGATCAGGAGAATGAGCAGAAACAGAAACATCACTGTTTTCTATAATACTTCCTCATACTTGTAATTTTCTCCAACCCCTCCACGAAAGATTCTGAATCTGTCAGCATATTGAATCTAAACTAACAATCTGTCACGCCGAGGGGTTGAAATGTAGCGAGAGAGCCAACCAAATGGTCTACCACTAGGCTATGTGGCGTTGAAATGAAACAAAGCTTCCGTAGGCTGCTGTAGAGTTCCAACAGAACGTTCAAGGTATGGTACGTGTTAGTCAGAATACTGAGTGGAGAAACCAGACCACTGTGCGATGATAGCAAGGTAAAGGCACTGGGGGGGACACGCGTTCCACCGTCCACAAGGTCAAGGCACTCGTCAATGACTCAACAGCCTGAGGCGGGCTAGCCAGCCCCCCAGGATCGAAGAGGGTTCCGATGGAGGGCGTTTGGGAGTAGCAGCAGCACTAGGGGTCACAATCGTAGCCGGGGCCTTTTTCGACGATGCCTCCTGGTAGGGGATGGTGGCGCTGTTGTGCAGGTCAGCGTTGATGAAGCACCGGGAGCCCCGGATGTGGTCGACGCCACGGACCAGCTGGCCAGATCGCCCCTCCAGGGGTCTGTAGGGTAGGGGGAAACACGAGGCCTCCTCAGAGATGGTGGCGATGCGCTCGTTACTCAGGTATCTGTGCAGGATGTCCTCTCCTGCAAGAGTAGAATAGAATAGGACTTTATTGTCCATCCAAGGATATCATCACCATGCAAGAACCATATATAAAACAGGAATCTTAGCATGGGGCTGGCATATACGTTAGATACATAACTAGAGCTAGGAGTTTTTCCTGACTGTGATCTGATCAGGAAAACCTTTGGGCCTACTTACACTGGTACATGTACACATACTCGTTGAATACACATGATATACACATAGACATACACAAATGAACAAACTTGTCTCACAACACCCGCCGAACCCTCTCTGTTTAAGGATAAGTGAGTCTAAGGAGTTGTGGACAAAGTTAACACTGGTTATGCTGGGGCTTACCCCAAAGTTAATGAACAACGACTTAAGAATTCAAGGCATGCAATCCGAGTCTGCCTCAGTTTGTTCTGCAGAGTAAATGAGCTTGTGAAATGGCCATTCTGATAACAGTAGATTAGCCTCAGTTCGGTTCTGTCCCAAATGGCACCCTATTCCTTATATAGTGCGCTACTTTTGACCGGGGCCCCAATCAAAAATAGTGCACTATATAGGGAATAGGGTGTCATTTGGGATGCAATTGGCACCCTGTGCTATAGCTGTAGCAGGCTTACCTTTCCTCCCTTGGTGCCAGGGTCTGGAGGACGAATCAGACATGCCCAAACACGAGTCTAGAGGCATGGACAGAGGCCGCGGTTTACCTGTAAAGAGTTCAAATATTCTGTAATTCAATGTCATCAATCTTTTCAATGGTACAGAATCTATAAAAGTCAGTGAAATGGGAACAGAATGCTACCGTGATTAACTGGGGGAAAAGTTTGTGTGTGTTAGGGCACTGACCCCGTGTTGATGTCTGTTGTCTCAGGCGGGCAACTGGGGCTGGTTGGGCCGGTTGGAGGTTGGGCTCAGGAGGGGGGCAGACTCTGATCTTGTTGTCATAGTCTGCGATGGTGAAGCGCCGTCTGCCCTCATCCAGGAAGGAGTTTGGAGACTGAGAACCCTTTGGTCTCAGTTTGACACTGGCTTTAGGCTTCTCATCTCTGTGATGAGTGGTACATGAGAGGAAAAGAAGAAACAACATCAAGGTCAGCTAACAGAGCAGTATCCATCATTGTAGGGGTACACATTTTTTTCTTCTTCTCCCAAACAGTAATTTCAACAGAAGTTATAAGTCCCTGTTTGGGACTTAATGGACTAAACAAGAGGCGGTGTTATGCCATTCCTAAAGCCTGAGGAGGACAGAGAGACAGACAGACAGAAAGGCAGACAGACATGCAGACAGACACGCAAACAGACAGACTGACAGACGGACATGCAGACAGACAGACACACAGACAGACAGAGACTGACAGACGGACAGACAGTCAAACCGACCAACGGACTGACAGACAAAGACAGACTGACTGACAGAGAGACAGACAGACAGACAGTCAAACCGACAGACAGTCAAACAGACAGACAGATACTCACCGTGGGGTATAGGGTACAGTGGGGGGGGGGGGGATAAATAGGTCGAGAAGGGCTGGCTTCTCTTTCTTCATAGGGGCTTCACAGGCATGCTTTGGAGACTGGATCTTAGGGATTCCGGGGGCGTTCTAACACACAAAACAACAAAATACTTGTTATAATAGATAGATCCCCAGATGTTACCAAATGTTGTCAAGTAAAAACACTAATACCACAGAAATCTGTGTTAAATAATTGGCTTGAGGTAGCTTAGCTGCTAAAATTAGACAACTTCACCATAACGATCAGCAAAATACTAATGCGTTACATGGCGTTCTTTCGAATTAAGCAAATGTCCATTTGGTAAATCCACCAAGACTACTGTAGCCTGGTTCAATGGGTTCCTCCATGCCTGGCGAGATTACAGTGTAGTCAGGGCACACTGACCCAGCCCACTACTGACATTTGAAGGACTATGCAATCTATTTAAAACACACATCCTAAATGGGTTCCGAAACACCAAGCCTATTCAGTCACACTAGACCCATGATCTGCGAACATGAGTCACCTTCAAAACATGTCTGACATCAATACAGCCTTGGACTGGAAAAAAAGGAAGAAGGGATTCATTGTTTACCCTTAGTTACAACCCACCCACTGAAAGACGCAACCTCGATGGCAGAAGACCTGAGGAACTTGTCCTCTGTTGTCAAACCCCACCAAAAACCAACAACTCTGGGATAACAAACACACAAATGTCACACCTATGATGACAGATGAAAATAAATCCAGAATTGATTCAACACTATGATATCAAGGGGGATAAGGTGGGCTGGGTCTACATGTACTACGGGTGTTCTTCAATCAAGCTGTGTGAGAGTGTTAGGGCTCTACCTGCACCAGATGCGGCCTCCAGCGCATGTTCTTCAGGGGGGCCGGGGTGAAGCTACAGGTCCCCGAGGGCCTCTTCTTCACCACCAGAGTAACGCATGCTGGGTCCGCTTTCAGCTTACCCACCAGGTTCTCCAGCTGCCAGCCCACCTGGAGGCACCACAGACAGACAGATAGGACACCTCGTCAGACCCATCCAGCATCACTCCCATCAGCAGGTTCATCATCATCACTCCCATCAGCAGACCCATCATCATCACATCCATCATCACATCCATCATCATCACTCCCATCATCATCACATCCATCATCATCACTCCCATCAGCAGACCCATCATCATCACATCCATCATCACATCCATCATCATCACTCCCATCAACAGACCCATCATTATCACATCCATCATCATCATCACATCCATCATCACATCCATCATCATCATCACATCCATCATCATCACTCCCATCAACAGACCCATCATCATCACATCCATCATCACATCCATCATCATCACTCCCATCAACATACCCATCATCATCATCACTCCTATCAACAGACCCATTATCATCATATCCATCATCACATCCATCATTACATCCATCATCACATCCATCATCATCACCACTCCCATCAACAGACCCATTATCATCACATCCATCATCATATCTATCATCATCATCACATCCATCATCACATCCATCATCATCACTCCCATCAACAGACCCATTATCATCACATCCATCATCACATCCATCATCATCACTCCCATCAGCAGACCCAACATCATCACATCCATCATCACATCCATCATCATCACTCCCATCAACAGACCCATCATCATCAACTCTGTCACTGTACTCTGAATATTCTGCCTATCCCTATGCTCCAATCATTATTGAGCTTGTTGTTGATTTAACAAAGATCTGTGATCTCTCTCATTCCTGGGTTAGTACTCTCATATCAATGGACAGATGAGAGAAGCTGTATGAGGTAGCTACCACTGTCTGCTTGTTGACCTGGACGACCTCGTCTCCGGCGTGGATCCTGTGTGTTCTGTCTGCTGGAGACTGGAGGGCAGAGGACAGCAGAAAGACAGATGGTGAGCAAGGAGACATCACAGAAGTACAGTACATTCACTCTGACTGGAACACTCCAGACCATCTTGGACTACTACTATCGGAATAGACGGGATACTCACATGTTCTGTGGTTCCAGTGATGATGTGAAGCCCGTCGTAGGTGGATTTGATATACAACCCCTGAAATGATACAGGACAGCATAAGAAAGAAGCAATCAATCTCAGAGACTGAGAAATCAAGCAGTACATCTAGCTTGGGCTGATCATGTAAGAATCTTCTCTAATTTCAAGTATAAGTCAGCTTCTTATGTGCCACCCTATTTCCTATATAGTGCACTACTTTTTGACCTGATCCCTATGGGCCCTGGTCAAAAGTTGTGCACTATACAGTATAGGGCAGGGGTGTCAAACTCATTTTAGCTCAGGGGCCACATGGAGGAAAATCTATTCCCAAGTGGGCCGGACCGGAAAAATCATGGTATATATAACTTAAAAACAACAACTTCAGATTGTTTTCTTTGTTTTAATACGATCAACATACAACATAAAGCTGGAGCCTGAGGACAGTGTGTCCAAAATAGTACAAGCACAACATCACTATTAATCATAAAACACGTCAAGTATATTTGAAAATTCTAAAGAAAAAGAACACACAAACACACAATGCCTCAGTGATTAACAAACCTGTTTCACAGATCACAGAACTATATCAGGGTGTCATTTCTCAGGCAGAAATGTAGATACAAATAATGAAATCCTGTTCCCCAAACAAGTGCAAGAACCACAGAGTCAAGAATAGGTTAAATATACAAATAAAATAAAATCAATTAAAAACAATAGCACATCAACATAAAAACATATAAACATAAAGCTGGAGCCTGAGGACAGTGTCCAAAAGCACAACGTCACTATTAATCATAAAACACCTCAAGTTATTTGAAAGTTCTGAGGACAAAGAACACACAAACACACAATGCCTCAGTGATTAACAGACCTGTTTCACAGATCACAGAACTATATCAGGGTGTCATTTCTCAGGCAGAAATGTAGATAAAAATAATGAAATCCTGTTCCCCAAACAAGTGCAAGAACCACAGAGTCAAGAATAGGTTAAATATACAAATAAAATAAAATCAATTAAAAACAATAGCACATCAACATAAAAACATATAAACATAAAGCTGGAGCCTGAGGACAGTGTCCAAAAGTACAACATCACTATTAATCATAAAACACCTCAAGTTATTTGAAAGTTCTGAGGACAAAGAACACACAAACACACAATGCCTCAGTGATTCACAGAAGTATATCACAGATCACAGAACTATATCAGGGTGTCATTTCTCAGGCAGAAATGTAGATAAAAATAATGAAATCCTGTTCCCCAAACAAGTGCAAGAACCACAGAGTCAAGAATAGGTTAAATATACAAATAAAATAAAATCAATTAAAAACAATAGCACATCAACATAAAAACATATAAACATAAATCTGAAAGCGTTGCTCAAACTCCCGTAACAGTCCCGTTATTTTATCTTTGAACCGCTTCATGTCTGCCACATGTTGGGTCGCGCACACATTTTTCAGACAGGGGAAGTGAGCTGCATCACCACCGGCAAGTTGCGTCTCCCACAATGACAGCTTCAACTTGAAAGAACGTATGCTGTCATAATACTGCGTGACAACTTTGTTGCGCCCTTGCAGCTGTTTGTTCAAGTTATTCAGGTGCTCTGTAACATCCACCATAAATGCAAGGTCCTGCATCCATTCTGCGGAATGAAATTCTAACACTGGTTTGCCCTTTTCTTCCATGAACTGTTCAATTTCTTCTCGTAAATCAAAGAAACGCCTCAGCACAGCACCTCGGCTTAACCATCTTACCTCAGTGTGGTATGGCAGGCCATAGATGTGGTCTTTCTCTCTGAGAAGGCTGTCAAACTGACGGTGATTCAGGCTTCTGGATCGGATGAAATTAACAGTTTGGATGACCACCTTCATGACGTTATCCATCTTTAATGACTTGCAACACAAAGCCTCCTGGTGCAAAATGCAGTGAAAAGTCAAAAAATCACGTCCTCCATTTGCAGATTGCACTTTCTCTCTGAACTTTGTCACAACGCCTGCTTTTTTCCCGATCATTGAGGGCGCACCATCTGTAGCCAGGCTGACAGCGCGGGACCAGTCCACTCCGACCCTGTCCAGCGCGCCGACGAGTGCGGTAAAAATATCAGCTGCTGTCGTTGTATCTGTCATCTGCACCAACTCCACGAACTCCTCGGTGACGGTCAATGTGTCATCAACTCCGCGGATGAAAATGGCCAGTTGTGCAACATCTGTAATGTCCGTGCTTTCATCAATTGCAACCGAAAACGCAATAAATGACTTTACTTTTTGCTTCAACTGGCTGTCCAAATCCACTGAAAGATCGGAAATCCTGTCTGCAACTGTGTTTCTTGTCAGGCTGATATTTGCAAAAGCCTGCCGCTTTTCAGGGCACACAATCTCCGCTGCCTTCATCATGCATGTTTTTACAAATTCACCCTCACTAAATGGTTTTGAAGCCACTGCGATTTCATTAGCAATGAGGTAGCTAGCTTTCACTGCAGCGTCACTGATGTCTCGGCTGTGAGTAAACACAGACTGCTGTTTCTTCAGACCCGCCAACAGTTCATTCACCTTCTCTCATCTCCGCTGTCCTTGAAAGTTGTCATATTTGTCGGCATGAAGACTCACATAGTGGCGACGAAGGTTATATTCTTTCAGCACTGCAACATGCTCTGAACACACCAAACATACAGCTTTCCCATTCAATTCCGTGAATAAATAGGATGACCATTTTTCTTGGAACACTCTGCACTCTGCGTCCACTTTTCTCTTTTTTGACAGAGACATATTGGGGCAATGAGGGTGCCAAAGCACATAATGTTAAAAGTAGAAGCCGTAATAAATATCGCGGGCAAAACAAAGTAGCTCATTGGCTGCACGTGCTTGACCTACTTGCTCTGCCCCGGTATAAACAGTTTGCTTGCTTAACACAATTGCTATTGCGCCATCCAGTGGACGCAATTGGAACAGCAGTTTATTTTATTGAAAAATTGCAGCGCATTTTTATACTTTACAATTTTATTTTGTATTTTGTATTTTTTTATTTTTTTTAAATCATCTCGCGGGCCGGATTAAACCCGTTTGCGGGCCTGATCCGGCCCGCGGGCCGGACGTTTGACACCCCTGGTATAGGGTATGGGGTGCCATTTGGGATGCAAGCTAACTCTTCTCACCAGTCCTTCCCTAGGTCTGATGTTGGTGATGTGGACCTCCTCCAGACAGGCCATCTGACTCTTCTGGGGGTCAGAGGTCGTCCTCATCGTCTGCTCACAGATCACGTTCAGAGCCACAGACTGGAATGGAACATATAACAGAATACACTCAGCTACATTGTCTCAGAACACCAATATACACTGAACAAAAATATCAAAGCAACATGTAAAGTGTTGGTCCCATGTTTCATGAGCTGAAATAAAATATCCCAGAAATTTTCCATACGCATAAAAAGCTTATTTCTCTCAAATTGTTTGCACAAATTTGTTTACATCCCTGTTAGTGAGCATTTCTCCTTTACCAAGATAATCCATCCACCTGACAGGTGTGGCATATCAAGAAGCTGATTAAACAGAATGATCATTACACAGGTGCACATTTTTACATTTTAGTAATTTAGCAGACGCTCTTATCCAGAGCGACTTACAGTTAGTGAGTGCATACATTTTCATACTGTTGTCCCCACCTTGTGCTGGGGACAATAAAAGGCCACTCTAAAATGTGCAGTTTTGTTACACAACACAATGCCACAGATGTCTCAAGTTTTGAGGGAGAGTGCAATTGGCATGCTGACTGCAGGAATGTCCACCAGAGCTGTTGGCAGAGAATCGATAGTTCATTTCTCTACCATAAGCCGCCTCCAACATTGTTTTAGAGAATTTGGCAGTACGTCCAACCGGCCTCACAACCGCAGACCATGTGTATGGCGTTGTGTTGGCGAGCGGTTTGCTGATGTCAACATTGTGAACAGAGTGCACCACTGTGGCGGTGGGGTTATGGTATGGGCAGGCATAAGCTACGGACAACGAACACAATTGCATTTTATCGATTGGCAATTTGTATACACAAAAATACCCCAAAGAGATCCTGAGGCCCATTGTGAGTCCCATTTTTTTAAAGGTATGTGAAATCCATAGATTATAGCCTAATGAATTGATTTCAATTCACTTATTTGGAAACTCAGTAAAACCTTTGAAATTGTTGCATGTTGCATTTATATTTTTGTTCAGTATACTTCACTGGACTTTGGGGAAATAACCATCGTCATTGTAATCTCGTTAACAAGACACTGCCTCTCAATGTATGCACAATTAGCCTGGGGATGAGGTTATGGTCGTTGCTCTGATCAGACCCTACACCCAAACGAGGGCACTACGTTCATCCACCTCTGGCCTGCTAGCTCCCCTACCTCTACGGAAGCACAGTTCCCGCTCAGCCCAGTCAAAGCTATTCGCTGCTCTGGCACCCCAATGGTGGAACCAGCTCCCCCACGACGCCAGGACAGCGGAGTCACTGACCACCTTCCGGAGACAATTGAAACCCTACCTCTTTAAGTCATACCTGGAATCGTATAAAGTAATCCTTCTACCCCCCCCCCCCCTAAAAAAAACAACCCACTGGCTATCATAAGTTGAATGCACCAATTTCTAAGAGCGTCTGCTAAATTATGTAAATGTAAATGTTAATGTAAATGTTGTAAAGAGCTATTCTGGTGTGTTGGATCTCTGGTGTGTGGTCATGATGACGGAGCTAAACTTCAGGAGAGGGGAGGGACAGACTGTAGTCACACACGTTAGTGCTAATGACTGGATTGGTTAATTAAGCAATTAGGCCCGAGGGGGTGTGGTATATGGCCAAGCTACACTTCTCAAAAGGCACTGAATTGGTGGAACGACTCTAATATTATTAATCTACAATTCAATACTTTCTGCATTTTTTTTGTACATAAATGCACTTTCATTTAAGCTTTAAAACTGCAAAGTTTTCTCTCTGCCTCATGGCAAAATGTGTACACTACCGGTCAAAAGTTTTAGAACAGCTACTCATTCAAGGGTTTTTCTTTATTGTTACTATTTTCTACATTGTAGAATAATAGTGAAGACATCAAAACTATGAAATTCAGTTAATACGGAACATTTCAAGAATTTTGAAAGTTTCTTCAAGTGCAGTCGCAAAAAACATCAAGCGCTATGATGAAACTGGCTCTCATGAGGACCGCCACAGGAATGGAAGACCCAGAGTTACCTCTGCTGCAGAGTTTAAGTTCATTAGAATTACCAGCCTCAGAAATTGCAGCCCAAATAAATGCTTCACAGAGTTCAAGTAACAGACACATCTCAACATCAACTGTTCAAAGGAGACTGTGTGATTCAGGCCTACATGGTCGAATTGCTGCAAACAAACCAGTACTAAAGGACACCAACAAGAAGAAGAGACTTGCTTTGGCCAAGAAACACGAGCAATGGACATTAGACCGGTGGAAATTTGTCCTTTGGTCTGGAGTTCAAAAGTCTTTGTGAGACGCGGTGTGGGTGAACGGATGATCTCCGCATGTGTATTTCCCACCGTAAAGCATGGAGGAGGAGGTGTTATGGTGTGGGGGTGCTTTTCTGGTGACACTGTCTGTGATTTATTTAGAATTCAAGGCACACTTAACCAGCATGGCTACCACAGCATTCTGCAGCGATACGCCATCCCATCTGGTTTGGGCTTAGTAGGACTATCATTTGTTTTTCAACAGAACAATGACCCAACACACCTCCAGGCTGTGTAAGGGCTGTTTTACCAAGAAGGAGAGTGATCGAATGCTGCATCAGATGACCTGGCCTCCACAATCCCCCGACCTCAACCAAATTGAGATGGTTTGGGATGAGTCGGACCGCAGACTGAAGGAAAAGCAGCCAACAAGTGCTCAGCATATGTGGGAACTCCTTCAAGACTGTTGGAAAAGTGTTCCAGGTGAAGCTGGTTGAGGGAATGCCAAGAGTGTGCAAAACTGTCATCAAGGCAAAGGGTGGCTATTTGAAGAATCTCAAATATAAAATATATTTTGATTTGTTTAACAGTTTTTTGGTTACTACATGGTTCCATGTGTGTTATTTCATAGTTTTGATGTCTTCACTATCATTCTACAATGTAGAAAATAGTAAAAATAAACAAAAAACGTTGAATGAGTAGGTGTTCTAAAACTTTTGACCGGTAGTGTAGTATTGCAGGATAGTAGCTTTAAAGCTGTAACAGCCTGACACAGACTTAGATAAGCATTGTACAACTTGGCTGTAAACAGCACAGCATGGGAGGCTGAGGTTATACAGTAGGTCAGCTCCTGAGAGAAACTGCTGATCCAAACTAATATTATCACTTAGTTAATGAAATTTTCAGCTGACTGTGTAGCCCAACGGCCCCCCAGGCAGGGCTATCTAACACAGAATGTGGAAGCAGGGCTTCTGTAAACCATCACAGCACTGGGATGCATCCCAAATGGCACCCTATTCCCTATGTAGTGCTCGACTTTTGACCAAGGCCAATAGGGGTCTGGTCAAAAATAGTACACTATATAGGGAATAGGGTGTCATTTGGAAAACAGCTCTTAACTGTATAAACAAAGTCCTACACCCATACGGGAACACAGCACATATCACAAGAACCATGGCAGTCTCTACAGGAAAGGGAAGTGTGTGTATGTGTGTATGTGTGTGTGTGTATGTGTGTGTATGCATGTGTACGTGTATTGCCTGCGTGTATCTGTGTGTGTGTATGTGTGTGTGCTTCCTGTGTGTTTAACTGTCACACCCTGATCGGTTTCACCTGTCTTTGTGCTTGTCTCCACCCCCCTCCAGGTGTTGCCCATATTCCCCATTATCCCCTGTGCATTTATACCTGTGTTCTCTGTTTGTCTGTTGCCAGTTCCGCCTTGTCAGGTCTTACCAGCGTGCTTTCCCGTTTCTCAAGTGTTTATTTCCTAGTTTTCCCGGTTCTGACCATTCTGCCTGCCCTGACCCCGAGCGAGCCTGCCGTCCTGTACCTGCCTGACTCTGACCTGATTACGAACCTCTGCCTGCCCTGACCCCGAGCCTGCCTGCCGTCCTGTACCTGCCTGACTCTGACCTGATTACGAACCTCTGCCTGCCCTGACCCCGAGCCTGCCTGCCGTCCTGTACCTGCCTGACTCTGACCTGATTACGAACCTCTGCCTGCCCTGACCCCGAGCCTGCCTGCCGTCCTGTACCTGCCTGACTCTGACCTGATCACGAACCTCTGCCTGTCCTCGACCTGCCCTTTGCCTGCCCCGTGTTGTAATAAATTATTATTGAGAACTGTACTATCTGCCTCCTGTGTCTGCATCTGGGTCATATCCTGAGTCGTGATAATATCTGTTTGCGATGTGTTTATTTTGAAGCTCCAGGGCTGAGCTGGTGAACAGAGCATTCAGACCAGAGGTAAAAAGAGGAAGCATCACTTACCACTTCCAGAATCTTCTCCTCCATGTCATAAACTGTGCAGTCCTACAATCAGGGACAGAAGTATATTTTACAAGATGCTACAGTAAAACACTTAAGCTGTATCCCTCTGAGGCGTAGCAGGAAAGAGCGAACGAAAACACAAATTAGCAGCGAACGGCGGACAAATATTTGTGGAAATAAAAAACTTGGGAGTGAAACCAAACAGGAATGCAAAAAGCCTCCCAAACATACAGGACGATGTGTCTTGTGGGCACTTAAATAACAACTCCCTGTAAACAGTGTGACAAGATGATTGCATGACAGTTCTGTGGGACGTCACTTAACTATAGGGAGCAGTGAGGTGGAGAGGACACTGCTTCCACACTGTATCTTTCACTATTTATGTGTCCTAAAAGGCACCCTATTCCCTATTTAGTGCACTAATTTTGACCAGGACCCGTTGGGCTCTGGTCAAAAGTATTGCACTACATAGGGAATAGGGTGCCATTTGGGACACAAACTCAGTATCCTTCATGTTTTGTGGGAGAGAGCAGAATTAGGCACGTGTTGATCTTTCATCCTCCCACGTGCTGCTGGTGGAGGTCTTCATGCTTTAACCATTCAGTGGTACTGTTCTTATTACATCCTGTGGCGAGTGTCTGTATGGGGCACACCTTCAGCTAACACTTCCTATTTGAACTCCACCTCAATGTATAATAGATCAAATGAAGTAGCCTCTGATGCAGGGGTTTTAAGGTCTCGTGTGACAGACATTGTGGCCCTAGAAGTTATTGTAAGACCTTTGAAACCACAGAACATTTTCTCAGAGATGTTTTGCTTTTTACATGCCTTAAAAAAACGGTCATTTTTGGTTCCCAGAACGTTCATGAGAGGGGCTCCATGTGAATTTGTGTGTTGACTACTAGCATGAAATAAATATTAATGCATCATGCTAATTTAACAAACACACACAAGTGGTTTGCTTATAGGCAAAGTCATCCCAAAGTCCTATGAAACCTCATGAGAGTGAATAATGACGATTAGAGAACAAACCTTCTGAACGGTGGTGGTGAGCTCCAGACACAGCTGAATGATCCTGTTCTTAGTGGAGGTGAAGTCACTGATCCCCGTTAGAGAAGTCCTGTCATATAGAGACCAGAGGAAGGACAGGAGTCATTCCAATTACAACAACCCCAATAACACAGCAATAATCTATCTATCTCTGTGTGTACAATCATAACAATATCAGGTGCAATTACGGAGCTGGATATGATGACAGTTCTGTATTATATAGCAATTATGAGTGTTGTTGTGTCACAGATGCATGAAGAAAGCATCTAAAGAAAAACAACCCAGGTATGTGAGAAATGTATTAGCAATTATTGTTGTTGACTTGAGAAGTGTTTTGACTCGTCATGTACGTAGGCTACAGTACACACCCTCACATGTTTTGAGGGGTTACTGACAGCATCTAATGTGGTCTGTCAATACAGATGTTTAATTTCGCAGCTGAGACCCTCTGGAATGCGTCTCAAGCCGACACAAGCACAGGAATACAACTGACGTCCACCCGGCCGCATTACTTCACTTGGAAAGACTTCACTCTGGCTGTTTTGACTAGCAGACAGTAAAACATTTCCCAAAGTCAGCACTTTAACAAGATAACATGTATGTTAACATGGGCATCGCTTAAGAGCCTAATAGAATGCATTCCTTCCAGGTGAAATGTTAAGTGTGTGTATTTCTCTGTGTCTCTGTGTGTGTGTGTGTGTCTGTCTCTGTGTGTGTCTGTGTGTGTGTGTGTGTGTCTGTGTGTGTGTGTGGGTGTGTGTCTGTGCCACTGCCTATGTGTGTAAGTGTGTTTTGTATAGCCTACCTGTCCAGCCAGGCCAGTAGACTCTTGGCTGCTCCGATGAGCTCCACCACGGCAGTGAGGAAGTCATTGGGGGGTTTGTGGGAATTCTTGCCCTCGTACGACGGGTTCTTCCTGCGCTCCGACGCTGAGTTGTGGAGGTTGTTGGACGCCGCTCTCATACAACCCACCAGAGTCTTCAGGTTGTCTGTCTCCACCCCATAGTTCTGGAAGACAAACGAGATAAACGTTTTTACTTGCAATGACTGTGATTTGTGGTTGTTTTACCCACTGTAGTTGAATGCACTGACTTGTAAGTCTGCTAAAATACCAAAATGTAAAATGTAATGAGAGGGAATATTCTCATAACACAACAATCAAAAATGAGAAAGAAATACACTCAGGTTTTCTGACTCACTACGTTTATTATAGTCGCATACCATAGCTATCAGATCTTTGATTAGCATGTGTGCTGTAATCAATTACATTCAAAACCACCTGGCTTGGGTTCAGCAAACATTGACTGTGTCCCAAACGGCACCCTATTCCCTCTATAGTGCACTACTTTTGGCCAGAGTCTCATGGGCCCTCATGGGCTCTGGCCAAAAGTAGTGCACTATAGAGTGAAAAGGGTGCCATTTCAGACGCAGCCATTGCCTTTCTGTTATAATGTAGAGTGACAGAGGATTAAGGACTCGGTCATTCTCATCAAATCAAATCAAATGTTATTTGTCACATGCGCAGAATACAACAGGTGTAGACCGTACAGTTTAATGCTTACTTACAAGCCCTTAACCAACAATGCAGTTATAAGAAAAATAAGTAAAAAATAGATAAGTAAAAAAAAGAAATGATAACAAATAATTAAAGAGCAGCAGTAAAATAACAGTAGCGAGGCTATATACAGGGGGTACCAGTACAGAGTCAATGTGTGGGGGCACAGGTTAGTCGAGGTAATTGAGGTAATACGTACATGTAGGTAGAGTTATTAAAGTGATTATGCATAGATAATAAACAGAGTAGCAGCAGAGTAAAAAAAGGGAATGGGGGAGGAACAATGCAAATAGTCCAGGTAGCCATTTGATTAGCTGTTCAGGAGTCTTATGGTTTGGGGGTAGAAGCTGTTAAGAAGCCTTTTGGATCAAGACTTGGCGCTCCGGTACCACTTGCCGTGTGCGGTAGCAGAGAGAACACTCTATGACTAGGGTGGCTGGAGTCTTTGACAATTTTGAGGGCCTTCCTCTGACACCGCCTGGCATAAAGGTCCTGGACGGCAAGAAGCTTGGCCCCAGTGATGTACTGGGCCGTACGCACTACCCTCTGTAGTGCCTTGCGGTCGGAGGCCGAGCAGTTGCCATACCAGGCGGTGATGCAACCAGTCAGGATGCTCTCGATGGTGCAGCTGTAGGACCCATGCCAAATCTTTTCAGTCTCCTGAGGGGGAATAGGCTTTGTCGTGCCCTCTTCACGACTGTCTTGGTGTGTTTGGACCATGATAGTTTGTTGGATATGTGGACACCAAGGAACTTGAAGCTCTCAACCTGCTCCACTACAGCCCCGTCGATGAGAATGGGGTGTGCTCTGTCCTCCTTTTCCTGTAGTCCACAATCATCTCCTTTGTCTTGATCACGTTGAGGGAGAGGTTGTTATCCTGGCACCACACGGCCAGGTCTCTGACCTCCTCCCTATAGGCTGTCTCATCGTTGTCGGTGATCAGGCCTACCACTGTTGTGTTGTCGGCAAACTTAATGATGGTGTTGGAGTCGTGCTTGGCCATGCAGTCATGGGTGAACAGGGAGTATAGGAGGGGACTGAGCACCCACCCCCGAGGGGCCCCCGTGTTGAGGATCAGCTCGGCAGATGTGTTGTTACCTACCCTTACCACCTTGGGGGCGGCTCGTCAGGAAGACCAGGATCCAGTTGCAGAGGGAGGTGTTTAGTCCCAGGGTCCTTGGCTTAGTGATGAGCTTTGAGGGCACTATGGTGTTGAACGCTGAGCTGTAGTCAATTAATAGCATTCTCACGTAGGTGTTCCTTTTGTCCAGGCGGGAAAGGGCAGTGTGGAGTGCAATAGAGATTTCATCATCTGTGGATCTGTTGGGGCGGTATGCAAATTGGAGTGGGTCTAGGGTTTCTGGGATAATGGTGTGGATGTAAGCCATGACCAGCCTTTCAAAGCTACAGACGTGAGTGCTACGGGTCGGTAGTCATTTAGGCAGGTTACCTTAGTGTTCTTGGGCACAGGGACTATGGTGGTCTGCTTGAAACATGTTGGTATTACAGACTCAGTCAGGGACATCACCACCCTAAAGGAGCAGTCCCCCAACACTCAGGACCAGTCACCATGGCAACATGCATGGCGCATTAACTGACTAAAACATATTCCCCACCACGTCCACCTCAATTACCTCAAATCCACAACGTGTGCTGTGTGTGAGCGAGAGAGAAAGAGAGAGAGAAAGAGAGTGTGCATGTGTGGGTGCTTGCTTGCGTGCATGCATGCGTGTAACTGTGTGTGTGTGTGCTGAGTGTTAGTGGGTGAAGAAGGGAGGGAGGAAGACGTCTAGGGAGAACGATCAACCCTTTCATATCTACACAGCTCTAGGGGTTTAATAGCAGGCTAACACCTGTGGATCACTGGCCCTGTAACACCTGTGGATCACTGGCCCTGTAACACCTGTGGATCACTGACCCTGTAACACCTGTGGATCACTGACCCTGTAACACCTGTGGATCACTGACCCTGTAGCGCAGCTATGGTAGACGGAGGTAAAAAAAAAAGGCCTTAATTAAGTGCAAAGGATGGTGGGATGGGAAAGTCCAACAAGGTCTGATTGAGATCAAACACTCCAATCTCTTTAATCATTACCTTGATCACTATGAACACACATACGCACGCAGACACGCATGCCTTCTGACTAGACAGCTGTTCAGCGCGTTCGTTCCTATCCTGAAGCATAGAAGCAATGGAAACTTCTGCAGCCAATGGAATGCCTCTTCCTGTTCAGGCACTGAAGAGAGGGAAAGGGAGGAAGAGAGCATGTGACAGAGAGAGGAGAAGGAGAAAGTGTTGACTCTGAGATGTACAGCAGTTTTGATGTATGGGACATGGTCGGAGAGAGGAGAGGCAGGGGGAGAACCAATCACCAGACGGAAACCGCAGGAACAATGGTGTAATGGCTTTTCCCAAGCAGGATGTGTGTGTTACAGGTGGGGGGTGGGGTCACATCTGTTTCCTGAGCACCAGGAGATTTCCCCCTGAGAACATAAAGCTCTGCCCAGATTGCATCCCAAATGGCACCCAATTCCCTATACAGTGCACTACGTTTGACCAGGGCCTATAGGGAGTAGTGCACTATGTAGGGAATAGGATGCCATTTGGGATGCAACCCTACTAGTCACCCACAACCAACCCTCTTCCTCACTACTTTATATTGGCCAGATAATGTATATTCCCTCTCACGTTGGACATGGTCAAGATCCCAGTTCACTTTCCTCCAACCACCAAAGCTCTCTTAAAAGATAACAAGGTCCGGCATACTACCACCTAAGCACCTTACCATTGCCTTTAGAGCGGCAGGTAGCCTAGCGGTTAGAGCGATGGGCCAGGAACCGAAAGGTCACTAGTTTGAATCCCCGAGCCGACAAGATTAAAAATCCCCAGAGTCCCCGGTGATAATGACAGACCCTGGCCGTGAACCCACTCTCTGAGGGTGTCTCAGGGAGAGTTGGGATATGCAAAAAACACATTTCCAATTCACACATGCGTATTAATACACACTTGTACATGAGTAAAATAGGACAAATATAAGCACCCACCAAATGATTATTATTTTGTGGACCATGGGAAAAGGGAAGATTGGACACTGCAGAATTTTGGGGATCGATGGGGCCAAACAAAAATGTACAGTAACATGAACGTATTGAACTGTAGGTCATTGATCAATTGAGGGCTGAAAATGGTCTGTAATCCCACTGTTATAGAGAGACACACATTTTCTTTGTGTTCATAATCAACAGTCACCATCCCTCTGCTGTTCTGGTCCCAATCTGTTGCCCCATGCCAGCCTGTTGCCCCGTCCCAATCTGTTGCCCCATGCCAGCCTGTTGCCCCATGCCAATCTGTTGCCCCATGCCAGTATGTTGCCCTGTGCCAGCCTGTTGCCCCGTGCCAGTCTGTTGCCCCGTGCCAGTCTGTTGCCCCGTGCCAGTCTGTTGCCCCGTGCCAATCTGTTGCCCTGTGCCAATCTGTTGCCCCGTGCCAGTCTGTTGCCCCGTGCCAATCTGTTGCCCCGTGCCAGTCTTTTGCCCCGTGCCAGTCTGTTGCCCCGTGCCAGTCTGTTGCCCCGTGCCAATCTGTTGCCCCGTGCCAGTCTGTTGCCCCGTGCCAGTCTGTTGCCCCGTGCCAATCTGTTGCCCCGTGCCAGTCTGTTGCCCCGTGCCAGTCTGTTGCCCCGTGCCAATCTGTTGCCCCGTGCCAATCTGTTGCCCCGTGCCAGTCTGTTACCCCGTGCCAGTCTGTTGCCACGTGCCAGTCTGTTACCCCGTGCCAGTCTGTTGCCCCGTGCCAGTCTGTTACCCTGTGCCCTATTACTGGGTACCACTGTTAGTAATCCCTCACACTAGGGGTTATCAGGGCCCCATTCTCTGGCCTGTGGACACTATTAACCAAGCCTTCACAATGGAGTACAACACTGAGTATACTGTACGTTCCCTTTTCAATGTATCGCACACTTCACACTGAAGCTAGTCCAGAGAACATAGCACTGGAATACAATACACCGTTTTCTGCACCACTAGCCTGGTCCCAGATCTGTTTGTTCTGTATAGCCAATTCCTATGGACATTCTTGACAATGACAATGACAAACACAGAACATTATTCTTACATCAGCACAATGTTTAGCATGTGAACCATGACAGAACAGTACTCCTATTAGGCCATGTGATATCCATAGAGAAAGAAGATTCTCTTCCCCACAAACCCCAAACGATGTCCACAGTGGGGCCTACCTACTCTCCAGACCTTAAGTCATGTCAGGACTGTGTTATAATGGAGTACAGAGGCTTCCTGGTGTGAGGCTGTGTCCTAGGCAACGACCAGAGAGAGAGGGATGAAGAGAGAGAGAGCGAGAGAGAGGGGGGAGGGATATACAGTATTTACAGCGCATTCAGGAGTAGTCAAACCCCTTCCCTTTTTCCACATTTTGTTACGTTACATCCTTATTCTAAAATGGATTATATAAAACAAATTCCTCATCAATCTACACACAATACCCCATAATGACAAAGCGAAAACAAGTTTTTTGAACAGTAATAAAAAAAACAGTCATACCTTATTTACATAAGTATCCAGACCCTTTGCTATGAGACTCAAAATTGAGCTCAGGTGTATCCTGTTTCCATTGATCATCCTTGAGATGTTTCTACAACTTAATTGGAGTCCACCTGTGGTAAATTCAATTGATTGGACATGATTTGTAAAGGCACACACCTGTCTATATAAGGTCCCACAGTTGACAGTGCATGTCAGAGCAAAAACCAAGCCATGAGGTCGAAAAAATAATTATCCGTAGAGCTCCTAGACAGCATTGTGTCGAGGCACAGATCTGTGGAAGTGTACCAAAAAATTTCTGCAGCATTGAAGGTCCCCAAAAACACAGTGGCCTCCATCATTCTTAAATGGAAGAAGTATGGAACCACCAAGACTCTTCCTAGAGCTGGCCGCACGGCCAAACTGAGCAATTAGGGGAGAAGGGCATTGGTCATGGAGGTGACCAAGAACCCGATAGTCACTCTGACAGAGCTCCAGAGTTCCTCTGTGGTGATGGGAGATTCTTCCAGAAGGACAACCATCTCTGCAGCACTCCATCAGTCAGGCCCTTATGGTAGAGTGGCCAGAAGGATACCACTCCTCAGTAAAAGGCACATGACAGTTTGCCAAAAGGCACCTAAAGGACTCTCAGACCATGAGAAACAAAACCATGAGAGACCATGGCAGAATCCTTACGGTGAAGCATGGTGGTGGCAGCATCATGCTGTCGGAATGTTTTTTAGTGGCAGGGACTGGGAGACTAGTCAGGATTGAGGGAAAGATGAACGGAGCAAAGTACAGAGAGATCCTTGATGAAAACCTGCTCCAGAGCGCTCAGGACCTCAGACTGGGGCGAAGGTTCACCTTCCAACAGAACAACGACCCTAAGTACACAGCCAAGACAACGCAGGATTGGCTTCGGGACAAGTCTCTGGATGTCCTTGAGTGGCCCAGCCAGAGCCCGGACTTGAACCCGATTTAACATCTCTGAAGAGACCTGAAAATAGCTGTGCAGCAACGCTTCCCATCCAACCTGACAGAGCTTGAGAGGATCTGCAGAGAAGAATAGGAGAAACTCCCCAAATACAGGTGTGCCAAGCGTCATACCCAAGAAGACTCAAGGCTGTAATCGCTGCCAAAGGTGCTTCAACAAAGTAATGAGTAAAGGGTCTGAATACTTCTGTAAATGTGATATTTCTGTTTCAAATCTAAAAACCAGTTTTTGCAGAGAGAGGGGGAGAGGGAGAAAGAGTGACAGAGAGGCAGCTGACCTATGCCAGCCTATCCCATACACAGGCCGATTGGACACACAACCAGGGGCACAACTTTGGTTTTAGAAGTGGGGGGGACATAACCTGGCGGGGATCTGGGGGTCCTCCCTCAGAATTGGTTGGGGCATCTAAAGCTAATTTCCTGCATTTCTACACAATCTAATATTACCCTTTTGGGGTCATTTTGGAGTCACTTATTGTAAATAAGAATAGAATATGTTTCTAAACACTTCTACATGAATGTGGATGCTACCATGATTATAGATAATCCTGAAGGAAAAGTTACAGACACACAAATATCATACCCCCCAAAAAATATTAACCTCCCTTGTTAATGTAATGGTGAGAGGTTAGCATGTCTTGGGGGTATGACCAGCTGGCTGGTGTGTTTATGGACATATTCAATCTCTCCCTTTCCCAGTCTGCTGTTCCCACATGCTTCAAGATGGCCACCATTGTTCCTGTACCCAAGAAAGCAAAGGTAACTGAACTAAATGACTATCGCCCTGTAGCACTCACCTCTGTCATCATGAAGTGCTTTGAGAGACTAGTCAAGGATCATATCACCTCTACCTTACCTGTCACCCTAGACCCACTTCAATTTGCTTACCGCCCCAATAGATCCACAGACGATGCAATCGCCATCACACTGCACACTGCCCTATCCCATCTGGACAAGAGGAATACCTATGTAAGAATGCTGTTCAAAACGGTTCGCTGCTCTGTCACCCCAATGGTGGAACAAGCTCCCTCACGACGCCAGGACAGCGGAGTCACTCACCACCTTCCGGAGACACTTGAAACCCCACCTCTTTAAGGAATACCTGGGATAGGATAAAGTAATCCGTCTACCCCCCCTTACCCCACCCCACCCCCCCCATAAAAAAACATTGTAAAGTGGTTATCCCACTGGCTATAAGGTGAATGCACCAATTTGTAAGTCGCTCTGGATAAGAGTGTCTGCTAAATGACGTAAATGTAAATGTAAATGTTCATTGACTATAGCTCAGCATTCAACACCATAGTACCCTCCAAGCTCATCATTAAGCTCGAGGCCCTGGGTCTGAACCCCGCCCTGTGCAACTGGGTCCTGGACTTCCTGACGGGCCTCCCCCAGGTGGTGAAGGTAGGAAACAACATCTCCACTTCGCTGATCCTCAACACTGGGGCCCCACAAGGGTGCGTGCTCAGCCCCCTCCTGTACTCCCTGTTCACCCATGACTGCGTGGCCAAGCACGTCTCCAACTCAATCATCAAGTTTGCAGATGACACAACAGTAGTAGGCTTGATTACCAACAATGACGAGACCGCCTACAGGGACGAGGTGAGGGCTTTGGGAGTGTGGTGCCAGGAAAATAACCTCTCACTCAACATCAACAAAACGAAGGAGATGATCGTGGACTTCAGGAAACAGCAGAGGGTGCA